AACGACACCAAATTCAACTCAATCCGAGCCCAAATGATCCCAAATCGAGCACCCGAAGTGCTGTTGGAAAGTTCGTATCACAATTTGAGAGGAGGGAAGCAAGAAGAAGAAGCAAGAAGAAGGGAAGAAGAAGAGAAGGAGAAGGAGAAGGAGAATCAGCTCCTGCTCGACCACTGCCAGAGTTCTTCCCGCCGCCTGAACAAAGCCGGAATTATGCCGGATTTTCGGGAGACGCCGGAACTCTGCACAACTTTGTAACTGAATTTAAATTAATGAGAAACTCATTGTAATCTGATCGTCCTAACTTGTGGGACGAATCAACCTTTTGTATTCTCAACCGTATACTAGTGGAACCTTTTTCAGCTGGGGCGCAACCACATGGTTTTTACCCTTTTCAGAATTTCACGTAAAATATGGTGGTACTTTTATCTTTTATTTGTGTGTTGGCTGAATTATTCGTTATAACTGTTCTCGGATGTAAATTATAAAAACTCTACCGCCACGTATATTCTATCCCGCAACAATACATAAAAAAATTTAACTCAATTATTCGGATTAATTCATTATAAATATTATTTATGGAATTTTTTTTTATAATAATTAAATGAATAAATTTTTTTGTGAAAGGGCCACGCTCCATTTGCATGTGAAACGTATGGTTCTTTTATTCTTCCGGACAACGAGTTCTTAATAGAAATTTTTGTCCGGCTTTTCTCCGTTGTTTTCCTAACCGCGTGGGCCCACCTAGGCGACCTACCACAGCAATCCCCGCCATCCGCCACGTAGCAACAATTGGCCCCAAAAAAAACCCAATGGCCCGCTCATAATGCGAAAAATATTGGTTAAATATTCTTTTTTTTTTTTTTGGGAAATTGGGTTAATATTCTGAATTTTATCATAACTTCAGAATTTTGGATATAAATTTTTTTTATAATTTTTTTTTTATAATAACTATAAGATGTTTGGTTGACTACTGTAATATTTTACTGGTGCTAAATATCATTAAAAAGATTGGAGTAGCTTCATTAACAATAAGATTAGAGAGTTATCTTTTCATCAGTCTTCTAATGCTCGATTATGAGAATAGCATATCAAAATTTAATTGGAAATTTTATTACTGCTTCTTAAAACAACTTTAATATTTCTTAAAGCATCTTTTTAAATTTTTATATTGAAAAAATTACTTTAAGAAAATTGTAAAAAAAAGTCGTCCCAAAGACGAAGCCTTAATCTATATTATGTTAAGAAGTTAGGGATAGACCTAAAAAGATTAGAAATTATTAGAAATTGATTTTATTAGATAGAAAAAATTGTAAAAAAATGATTTTTATTAGATTAAATAAAAATGTAAGCTTAATAAAATAATGGAGAAAAATTTTGTGGAGTCTAAATCACATAGGAGATAAGTACATTAATTTTTGTTATTATTTTGTATATTTTAATATTTTATTATTTTGATTAATATTTTAATTTTTAATTTTAAATTTAATATAAAATAAAAAATATAATTTTATCATATATATTATTTAATATTTCTTGTCAAAATATGGATGGAATTAAAAAATATATTCATTATAAATATATCATAATAATTTTTAAAAAATTCTTATGTTTTTTTTTAAATTAATATTAAATATAAAAATTTTATATTTCACCAATCTTGAAGAAAAACATCAATTTCAAGTTAATCCAAAATTTTTCAGAATACTGTGGGCCCCATCATAGCTTCTGCTTTATATAAACCAAGCCTACGCCGAGGATTTCTACTTCCCTGTTCTCATTTCGCTGTTTTCGCACAGAAGGATGGAGAGAAAAGGATCAGAGATAGAGCTGCCTGGATTCAGATTCCACCCGACGGAGGAAGAAATACTGGATTTCTATCTCCGGCGAGCCGCCGCCGGCAAGAAGCTCAACGTCGACATCATCACAACCGTCAATCTCTATCTCTACGACCCCTGGGATCTCCCAGGTATTAGAATTTGATAAACCCATACTAGGTTTTTTCTTCTTCTTCTTTTTCAATTAAGGGTTTGTTAATTAATCTTATGGGTTGGTTTGTAGCGATGGCGAAGATGGGAGAGAGGGAATGGTATTTTTTTGTGCCAAGGGATCGTAGGCAGGGCAATGGGGGGCGGCCGAACCGGACCACGGAGAGAGGGTTTTGGAAAGCAACTGGGTCTGACCGGCACATTCGAAGCTCGGTGGATCCTAGAAGGCTTATTGGGTTGAAGAAGACTCTCGTTTATTATCGTGGTCGAGCGCCGCGTGGTACGAAGACGGATTGGATAATGAATGAGTATCGTCTACCGGATGCATCTAACTCCTTTGGTTCAGCTCCAACACCTAAGGTTTGTATTTCATTTTCATTGCGATTGAAGAAAAATGATGCTGTATCTAATTAGTTTGAAAATTGTTGAACTTGTTTTGAAATTAGTGTCAAATTAATCTTAATATTTTAAAATAAAATTAAAGA